TGGGGGCTCAGCGAAAAGCGCTGAGGGAACGTCCTTGTAGTTAAAGTTGCTAGGTAGTTAGTAGACAGTAGGTACTTAGAGCACTTAAATTCGGAGGAGGGACGGAAAAATGTGTTTCTGTTAATCCTCAGCTGGTTTAATAGACATTTTTGTTTAACAAAAAAGAAGTGAAACAATGAGAATACAAGGCATTTGCATGCTGCTGTTTAAGTGCATGCTTTTCGTCCGTTGGACAACAGAAATCGAGCCATCGGCAGCACACGCAACTGATAACGATCTATCATCGAGCCCAGCTTTTCAGCCAGCCATGACAGGTATAACACACCACCCAATTATTTTGCCACTAATCCTAAGAGTCCGGTAGCTAGTGTGCACCCAGCAGGTATACAGAGGCTTCGCCTCATATATTACGCCTGAGCAGCCTCGGAGGCTCTGGAAACGCCCGGCGCTTTAATGTCTTTGTCAGATACCGGTTCCAGGTTACCCTCTAGCCCTCTACTCTCTTACTCTTACTTACTACTCTTACTCTACTCTTACTCTCTAGCCCTCTAGCCCAGCTCGACACCTCCAGCGTACTTGATGGCTACGCTAACGACACGGGTCGTCCGTCACCTGTCAGCAAACCGTCTCCCTCCCCATGACGCCACCTCTCCCAGTGAGTGGCGAAATCGTGCGTTCGAAACCATATGACATTCAAAAACATCACTATAAACCACGCCTCATCATTGCCAGCTGTAAGGCGAGAGTTGTATTGCCTTGGAATGGCTTACGCCCGCTACGGGTGACTTCGGGCTCGCAGTGCCCACTTGACAGGTCGAGCCTGGTGGGTGAACCTCGGACCCGCTACCACGCTCCACTTCACAGGGTACTTCCGCACTCGGTCCGCCTAGCCGAGCTGCTCTCCGGAGAGCACGCGTCACACGACGGTGCAACACGGCCACCGCTGACAGGTCGTGGCCGTGGCCGAGCCCGTGTTCGGACAGCTGCAGCTGACATCTCTGTATTGGTCCCGCCGAACAATGTACACGATCTGTGGCTTAGCCGGTGCCGCATGGCCGCCGCCGGACACGGAGTCTAGCCCATCACCCGCCCACAATGGTGCCGACTGGTCCGGGCGGGACTGGCGTAATGTATACAAAGAAGACAAGCTGTCGTGTTAGGCACGCGATCAGCACGGCGTCCAGACCGCGCCAGACTGTCGGACAACAGAGATCGAGTCTTTGCCAACACGCACGCTGATTACTGGTACCATCCGCTCATGCCGATGAATGTGGTGGTTTTTATGTATTTAGGGGCGTCGGCGAGCTGTTGTGATGCGATCGCCACGCCGGCCGCCGTGCCAGCCGACCAAAGCCTCCACCCGCCGCCGCTAGGCGGCAGCATCAATCGGCCGAAGCGGGTGGTGACGTCACACGGACGGCACGGGAGGCTTTGGTGTGAGTCACGGGCGCCTACTGAATCGGCAGGCCGCGACGGATCATACCGGTGCAGGGTCAGAGACCGGTACCCCCGCCAGCCAGCCAGATGGAGGCCGAACTGGGCACTTGCAAACCCGTGTCGGTTCCAAGCACACGTCTGTGCGACCCCGACCGTTCTGTGCGACACCGATGGTTCTGTGGGACCCCACTGACGACGGTTCGCCATCAGATCATGGTATCGACATTCGGAAAATTCCAACCGACGATACGACTGCCAGCTAACTGACGTCATCTCAACGTCTTGAATAATTTGTGATTTGTGTGATATCAAATCTAATTTTGGACCGAAAAGTATGGGCTGCTGCCTATCAGCCAGAATAAAAAAGCTATACGCGTGAGAAACAAAGCACTCCTTTCTGGTCGGCTCTGCAATCAATCAATGCCCAGCCCTGGCATGTCAATCATGACGTTCCACGTCCAGCGACGCCCACGTCGAGCGCACGGACAGAGCCGGTCGGTAGGGCGACACGTCCCGCCCGCGCGCGTCGCACACACCCGGCCCCTGCACGCCGTCATCGCCGGGACGGCGGAGCATACACACACACACACACACACACACACACACATACAGGTGTCGACCGTCACCAAATCGATCGCCCAGCTGCCGGGTGACGCCGCGCGTCGGCCGCCGCCGCCGCGGTCGGCGACCGGAAACGCCGCACGTCCGGAGGTGGCAGCGGCGCACATGACGGCGCGACTGAGCGTCGGGTGCGATGGGGGCGCCAGTGGCGAGGGCGCGGCCGCGTTCTAGCGCGGTGGGGAGACAGTATGCCCTGGGGATCGTCGAGCCTCCAGTACTCCAAGGGCCCGCCTGGATGCGAGCGGAGGAAAAGACGTTCGTCGATAGAAATGGATAATTCATGCAGTGACGTCAATTGCGATTCATTTCCGGCCAAGGCGATCATAAATTGAGCCATTGGCGTTCGGAATAGCCCATTAGCCAAGCCGATAACTGGATTACGGAGCAAGAGCTGGTCCGTCGTCACGCCCAGGCCATCATCGGCCCAGCCGGGGCGGGCCGGGCGAGCGGTCGCCCGCGGCGGGCGCGTCACTGCGCCGGGTCATTGCCGGACGCCGTGTAACAACGACTCGTGCGGGCGAGCGGGGCGCCGCGGCAGCCGAGGCGCGGCGCAGCCGCAACGCTAAGCACAGGCACGTGCTGACGACTGCGTCCAGATCGATCCGACCGCATCCGGCCTGCCCGATCGTCAGAGCGCCGTCTTTCCAGCCTGACAGCTGTCCCGCGCCGCTCCACGCGCTGACCTGGCCCACACGGCGGCGGTGTCGGGTGTCGCGCCGACACCGGACGTCACGTGACGCCAGGCACTGGGGTCGCCGCCGTCCGGACGGTAGTCCCGGTCCCGGTCAAAGTTTGAGTCTGAGTCAGGGCCCGGGTCCGGGTCCGGGTCCGGTCCGCGGTCCGGCGGCGGCCCCCACACCCGCTGCACACACGCTGCTCACCGGAGACGGCTGCCGCCCGCCGGTGAAGCTCGCCGTCGCAGAAGGCGCGCGGCGCGTCCATGAACATGGCGTCAGCGGCACCCGCCGGGCCCGGCCGCCGGCGTTCGACACTGATGACGCGTCCGTCGGCCGGTCGCCGCCCGTCTGATCACCGCCCGGCGTGTTATGATCAATAGCGCCCAGCTGTGACCCGTGTCTACTGTGGCCGTCCCGCCGGTGGAGGGAAGGGGGGCGCTGCACGGTCCCCAGATCGGAGTGGCACGAGCGTCCGCGAGTGGCAGGACCGGACTACGCGTGAGGCCAGCACCGGACCTCCTCCGGTCAATTCGTTCCCAGGCGGTATCGCCGGCCGGTCGCTCGTTGCCGCCGCGACGGAAGAAGCGCGCACAGCGGACGTCCGGTCAGCGCCGGTGCGGTCCAGTAAGGAACAGAAGCCGACAGTGGCGCCGCGCCGCGGCCGGGCGGGGCAGCGCGGCCGCCACGCCGCCAGACGGTCAAGCTCGCTGAGCGCCGTCAGCGGCGTCGGGCGGGCGCCCCACGGCCGTCTACATCATCACTCTTACATCAGGGCGATGCAACCGCGCACTGAACCCCTGCCGAAATGGCAGGCATTGCAGTGGGGAAGGCGCTAGCCAAAGGGGGAGGGGCATCATGAAATGGGAGCAGTGCTGAGTAAGCTAGCAATGAGGGCAGCTTGACACAGGAAAATGTTGGTTGTCAGTTTGAGCTTAGACAGCAAAACCTTAAAACCACCACAGGCAGCTCAGTTTGTTAGTCAGTACCTCAATTTATAAATTCCCAGAGGGCTAGTAAGAACTCATAAAGACATTTCTTTTCAAGTCACTATCTATCTAGCTCAAAAGGTGACTACCAGAACAGCCAGCAGACTCAATATTGGCTCAAGTGCTAAATGTCTCCTTGAGTATGATCAATGACATGGTATATCCATAAGGAGTTGTCTCCATGCACACTACGGGTGTCCCTAAATTTTGCCTAAAGGGAAGGTTCACTCATTTATCTCATTGCTGAACCCAATGTATGTTACCATGGGGGCTGGTAGTCTGTTCTTCAGCTGCAGTGCAGCAATGGCGTGTAATAGGTGAACAAAGGCGTGATATTAAGGTGCCAGATGTGCGGTTTTGAGACCTTTAGGAAAATATAATTGTGGTCATCTGATGTGCACATATGAAGAGCAGCATTTACCAGAAAATAACTCACTTGTGATCTTAAATGTTTTTTGTAATGCAAGTAGTAGTTTATGGTTCAGTTTAACAATCTTCTAATAAATGTTCTGTTTAATAATTTTTATAACACATATTAAGCAGATTACATGCATAGGTTCTCATAATTCAAGAGCCTGCCATTTCCCATGGGTCCACTTCATTATCCTTAGGATGAGTGGATTTTTTAATTTCCAGAAGAAAATTTCAAAAGTCACTAATTCTGAGCACCACGGGCATAATCACTTTTGCACTTTTGAACATCAGATGTATTAACACAAGAACACACACAAGTTTGACCATGCAGTGCTATGTAACACTTCACCTTGCTAGGCATCACAGCTAGCATATCATTAGTCCTGTGCAGAAGCCGAGATTGAAGTTCATTCTGTTGCCCAAAGGCAAAAAAGGCCTGAATCCTATTTTATCTGATGGGCCTTTTAGTCTTCAGAGAGCAGTATTGTCAGGGCACGGGGCAAAGATCACAAAGAAGAAGCAAAAATGACAGCAGCCATATGGATTGAGAAAGCATACACAAAGTGTCACATGCCCATCTAATTAACTTAACCCAAATTATTTTTGTTAGAAATACCAACCTAATACTAAATTTACAGGTGGCATGGGATCAATACTGCACAATTAAAAATATATCTAACTCTACACCCACATTCAGACAAAGGACCACATCTTAGGTTCACATATGAGGGCTCGATTGACGTCAACAACGGAAAAAATTCACTCAAATTTCATTGAGCCCTTAATGGTAACACACTGTAGACTCGCAACGGCACAAGGCGGGGCAACAGGTGAGCAACTGCTTGCAGGACATCAATTGGCTCACCAGGGGACGTCATTTCCAAAGCCCTAAAGACGTTGCTCCGCGGCACCGGGTGTCGAGAACTGGTTGAACTCCCACTTTTCCGACGCGTGGCACGCGACTACACAATACGCTTCGCACAGGATGCCGGCCGCGCCTCCCGACACGTCCTCACAAAATTTATCAACAACTCGGCGATTCAAGGTAGCTTAGAAAGGTTCCATAATTGCGGTATACAAATGATTCCAACTAATGCTTCGTGACGTCACAGGAGTATTTTCAAAGTCTGCGGACGAATTTGGCTATGACACACACATACAAGTAGTACAACTGACAACAACAAATTGTACAGCATGACAATTTGGTTATTTTGGCTCATATGACCTCCCAAAAATAAAGGCCTGTGGTCTCGACGTGCTCAGTGTCCGGATTCTCAGGGAATGTGCCGAGGAGCTAACTACTCCGTCGGAAATAATATGTAAGCTTTCTCTAAACTCTGGCGTCTTCCCCGCCATGTAGAAGCAAGCGAAGGTGACTCCAGTGCCAAAGAAGGGGTCCAAAAAGCTGTCTGAAAATTACAGACCTTTGTCGCTGCTTCCTATTTGCTCAAAATATTGGAGAAAACTGTGAGCGATAGTCTATTACAGGTCTATCTGCCCGCCCTTCCCTTATCCCAGCACGGATTCCTTCCAAAGAGCTCTTGCATCACACATCTTTCACGTTTTCTTGAACACTGCTGAACACCTACCTCAAAAGGTGAACAAACTGGTGCGATCTGGTGACCCGGAAGGCAGCATTCTAGGAACGTTGCTGTTCGCCTGCTTTCTGGCTGATGTTCCTGATCAAATCGAGAGTGAGTGCCTTATGTACGTTAATGGTGGGACAATTTTCACCGAATCAACAACGTAGCAGATTGTCTCACACTTCAGGCGGGTTTGGATCGCCTCTGAGAGTGGTCTAAAAACTGGGGACTGAAAATGGTTGGGTTCGAGTAGCCAGTCTCGGTGTCCTCCATTTGGTTATGAGCATCTTCTCGCTTTCTTCAAAGCATCACCTATCAAGGCACGCTTCACTCAGTCTGGCATCCTATTTCTGTACAACGTATTTCATCACAGGATTGACTGCACTCACCTAGCATCACTGTTCAGCCTGCCTACGCCCGTCCAGCGTTCTCGGCAATATCGGGCTTTTCCACCAGCCATTTGCAACGGTCAACACTTAAAAACGGGTTTGTCGCACGACTACCAGCTGTCTGCAATCAATTTTTGCAGCATTTTTCTTCAACTGACTTTTTTCATCCAACAAAATCATTACGCTCTGATTTGTTTAGGTTCGCCGGCACACGTGGGACATTTTCTCGATGACTTGATGTACGACCGTGTGTAATACGTGTGTGTGTGTGTGTGTGTGTGTGTGTGTGTGTGTGTGTGTGTGTGTGTGTGTGTGTGTGTGTGTGTGTGTGTGTGTGTGTGTGTGTGGTGTGTGTGTGTGTGTGTGTGTGTGTGTGTGTGTGTGTGTGTGTGTGTGTGTGTGTGTGTGTGTGTGTGTGTGTGTGTGTGTGTGTGTGTGTGTGTTTGGTTAGCTTTTTGTTTATGTTTGTATCATATATTTATTGTTCTTAAAACTGGACCGCTTCCGTAACTGGGCCTTTTCCTGTAGAATCCGTATGTCCCAAATTACCAAAATAAACGAAAAACGTACACAACTGATAGAATTTACCTCCATCGGTTCAATTTCATGATTTATCCGATTTGGAAGCAAGCTGTCAATGGACACCGCCGATGTTAAATAGATGCATCACGCCACCAGGTCGCGGATGAATTGCTTCAATTTGGATATTGTACAGAATACGTCATTCTTCATGGTTCCCAGTTTATTTGGCTGCAGAGGAGGTGACCAGCAGCACCTGGATGGACGGAACCTATCCGTTTACATCAAGCTCCGTACGGCATGAATGGATCCATTGTAAGTGTCAAGCGCCCGACCCCCCCCCCCCCCTATCCCCCCAGTGCTGGCCACGTTTATTGTGCCTATTTATAGACGTTTAGCAGAAAGGAAATGCTTAAACACTTATATGTTTCGCAGGCGGTTTGCAAATTTCCGCCTCTGCAAGGACCAAAAAGATGAAATTAATAGACCTTGGACATCCAAACAGTGGAGCCGCAGGAACATGCTGAGGGATTACATAACGATGACACGGCGATGACAACCGTATCTCTGTTTGACCCAATGAGACCCGAAGATCATGTCCCAAGGATCTTGTAATCTTGCGCAAGTAAGTTCATATCAGGTCCGCCAGCCGTGTGAGCTTGGTTGTGAGCTCATGATGTGAACACTATTAAACAGCGGTTCAGATCCCAGAGATCTTTTATGACGGAGTGTTCCCAAAGATCAGAGGCCCCTGGTTTTCGGACAGGCTGGATCGCTGCGCCTGCGCTCCGCCGCATGGTGTGTGCTGACCGGTCAGGGCAGCGGTAGGCGGCTGGACTGCGGGTCAGAGGTTGTGTACATCTGGGGTGACGCTCACGGGCTTGAGCGTGCAGACAAGCCGTGCAGTGCAGTGATGGAAAAGGAAGTGGCTGAATCATCAGATATGGACTCCGTTTTTGGTGACGCCGGAAACGTCGAACAGCTGCCTTCTCAACCAGCCAAACGACAGAGGCAGACGTCTGTGACAGAGCTCATGCGCAGGTTTCGAGGACAGAAGGACTCAGGGACTGAGAACAGCTCGGGCAAAAGCAGCAAAGCTGGGCCATGCAGCTACAAGCCACAGTCAAATTGGTGAGGTGATTGCTGACCTCTTGCATGTAATTAACAGAGTGACTAAATGACAGAAATATTAACGTCTCGACCAACAGGGTCACTTACAGTTTTGGAGTTAAATTTGCGTCATTTGAGAACCGGATTGAAATTCTTGAGTAGAAGGCTATGACACAACACTCTGAGGTAAAAGCCATGCGCAAGCAGCTTGAAACGCTCACCATTCCCAACAAGCAGCTGTCTGATCAAATTGAAGACATCGACAATAACCGACGTATGAGCCCGTATGAACGCATGGATCATGACCCTCGCGGACTTCGAAAAGGCCAAACAGAACGGGAACATCCAGAACATGACTCTCAAAATGCTGAACTCAAGGTTCTCGGACCTCCACGTCTTTAGCTCGGACATCCAGAACGTGCGCCGTCCCCTAGGCGAAAACAGAGTGGTTTGTAAATTTTCTGAGAACAAAAATTCGCGATATGGTCTACAAAAAGCGGTTGGAACGCGCAAAACATACATACTATGGACACAGCTTGTATCCGCCATGCTTACATGAGTCTTTAACCCCTACCGAATTGCATCTGTATCACAAGCTGCTTGCCGCAAAACACTCCGGGCGTATCTCCTCGGTTTTCACGCGGCGAGGCACCGTCTTCTGCCAGATTGAGGAAACGTCCGGAGGGATCCAGATTGACGACAACGACAAATCGCTAGGATGAGCCAGCGTGGTGTCCCATCTCGGAAAATCAGCGTCATCAGCAGTTCCAGCGGCCACCTGGACGGACGCGGCGCCCCAGGCCGCCTGCGGTGTGCGGCCCGCCTGTGGCCGCCGGCCGGCCGCCGGTCGGTGCCTCGGGCCTCGGGCCTCGGTGGTACCGGGTCGTCCGGCACGGACGGGTCGCGACCGGCCGCCCGGCGACCGGGACCGCTGCCCGCTGGGCGCGCGATCAGTTAGTGCGGGCCGGGCCGCTGCCGGGCGGGCCGCGCCCGACCGCTCTGCTGGGGGCGCCGGTGTCGGAACAGAGAGACTCTTCAGCCGGTGAGCAGCTGCAGCGCTAGCCTGCTGCTTCGGAGGTCTAGTTGTCGGCGCCTCGGGCGTTTCCGGGGTAACCGCAGCACTGGATCAACCGGTGGATATGCAGCTGGGGACTGCGTCGCAGGTCGGTGAGATAGCTCCGTCGGTTGCTGGACTCATTCATCGTGACGATGCTCGTGCAGGAACACACTAGTAAAAACGTAGAAAGCCGTTCAGTTTGAACAAGTGATTGTGACGGACCGTTTTACCCATTGCGTAATAATGTGATGGTCTACAGTAGCCGTTTATTCAGACGTAATCAAGTTTCTCGCATAGTATAAATATCACGTAATACGTGCAGCCAGATGCCCATGCAGCCATGATTCCCCGGCCACTATTCATCAAGAGTCACCTTTCGTTCCGTGATCTGCAGAACTTTTGAACATATCTGCTTCAAGTTCGGCTGGACCTGCACCGACCGGGTTGGCCGCGCGCGCACCAGCGGATGCCGTGGCGGTCGCGCCACGCTTTCGGGTGTGGACGGCAGTCGCATCGTATCCTGGTGGTGGGTGGACGCTTTTCAGGCGCGTGTCCAGCTGGGTAGGTATAGAAGGAGACCTTTCCGTGAGCATCGATCATAGTCACGCCTTGGCACGCTGTTATGGTGTGCGTCCCATGCTATAAAGTAATATTGCATGTTATATGGTTAGTCGAGCTTACCATAACGCTCACGAATAGCTGCTGAGACCCTCCAGCCGTCCGCGGCGCGCCTGTTCGTCGACAAGATTCAGGGCTGACTAGCCACAATATGTCGCCACCGGGAATAGGTCACGCTTTTGCCCACTTCCCATCCGCTCAGTACGCGGAGTATTTGTATCTGCCGTTCTCCGTGCTCTTGCCTGAGAGCACAGTTGGACCACTTGGCAGTATCGTTTATAGGAGCGTACTCTATAGACTCGACGACACACTCGCGCAGGTCATCCTCACGCATTACACACCCGCTGTTCTCACACGCATGCATTCAAGGCGCACTCATCACACACGCATGCATTCTAGACATACTTATCACACACGCATGCATTCAAGGCGCGCTCATCACACACGCGTACATTCTAGACGCACTCGCCACAGACGCACACATCACACATGCAGCGGCTCTTGCACAGACTGGCGGCTCGCAGGTTGTCAAAGGATGGATGAGCAATGGATGAAATAAAGATAATGTCAATGAACTGTGGAGGTCCGGGCCAACAAAAGAAACGGCGCGACGTCATACATCATATTCAACAGCCAGACTTCACTGTAGTTTTTCCTTAAGATACTCGGATGACAACCCGATTGCTGTTTTTTTCAACAGCATATGGAGAGACAGATGTAATCGTTCCTGTTATTCTTCACTTAGCCGCGAAC